GATAGGTGATTAAAATCTCTATATGTAAAACTTATGTTTGTAATTGATCTTGAATTTTCCTTCTTTCAATCAATCTGATATCTAAGGGTACTAATGCAAGGAAATAGCAAACTCTTATGATGTCATATTTTAGGAAACTTCTTTACACTCAATTGTTGTGAATGGTAACATTCAGGGGTAAATTTGATGAAGAGATAGCTTCTGTATTTGAGATGTCTGTATTAATTAAATTCATTAAACCTATTCTTTATATTAAGTATCTTTTAGAAATGAAACAACAAAAACTTGGCCAGTAATATTCTAAGTCACTTAATAAACAAGAAAATATTAATCTAAAAAGAACATAACATGTAAATGAATTTTTTAATCTCTTTATTTTTATGGTTGATAAAAAGACACATTTCTCATTCTGAATTCTGATTTTTTCTCTTTTTGATTATTGGTATCATCCGGGTCACTTGAACTTGTCTTCAGCCATCCTACCTGCAGGCTCTTCACCACCTCTCCCCGAGCCAGGTCCACTGCTCAAAGCATTGTGCCTGCAATAACTGCCACTCATAGACCAGCAGAAATCAAATCTTTTTCTATGAGTTCTCAGTATGTGCTGGAAAGCATGTAGGTTTGCTATAGGCTAATCCTATTTAGTTTGCTCGGTTTTAGTTTTGGGGTTTCATAACCATTTGACATGTAATCATTTTAAAGCACTAACCAGTTCTGTAATTTTGCTCAAAGAAAGGGACTTCTACTATTCTCCCTTTTTCTGTTTGAGAGGTGATCACTTACTAATTAATTACCTCATGAGCTAATTATTTAATAGTTTCCCTTCAGTCTCTAACATGCATACATACCATTATCTTGTTCATTTAGTTTTAGACCCTGTCTGTTGAATTTCTGCCATAGAAAAGGCCAAAATGGGTTCCTGTCTCATTCTCTTAAATAGTGATATCTCATAACCGTGATTAGAATGCATAGTATTGAATCTGAAAAGATTATACACAGCTAATCTTGCTGCAGGCAGTGCCTCTTTCCTCAACAGCCTCTGTTAAGCTTCATGTTCTTTGCCAGCAGTGAAATGTTCTGTTAGTGTGTACAGACTTACCATGATTTATTTTGCTTCATTTTCCAAAAGCAATCCCTCCCAATTTCCATCTAACCTTGATATCCCAAGTCATCCTGGGATGGCCATTCATCTCATTTCTGAGGACACTTTTGACCTCTCTGCTCTGGGAAGTCTTCTGTGTCTCATCCCCCATGTCCTTCTCTCTTGGTCAATACCCTCCTTTTGGCTTAGAGTCTCTTCTGTAGCTGCAGGGAAAGTGCCTGGGTCTTTCTGAGAAATGTGAGTATGAAAGTCCCTTTTCTGCCCTTCTGTCTAATTTATAGTTTGGATAGTTTGATTGGAAATATTTAGAAGACATTGTCTGTTCCTTTTAATTCTCAGTGTTAATGTGGAAACTGGTGAAACAATTAATGATGATTGGATTTTTTTATTTGTTTGTTTGTATTCTCCCTGGGAAGAGTAGATTGACCGTATTAAAATTTATTGGCAGTAGTCAAAATCTAGAGACTTAACTGCTTCTTAGACAGCTTTCAAACAACCTTTCTCCACTTCAGTTCCAGAGCCTGTGGTGTTAAACTCCCTTATCCTTGAGCAATTCAGCATGAAAACTAGGATAGTATTAAGCTGTCTCCATTTCCCATTTAGAAGTCTGAACCCTTGCAATTAGGATAAAAGTTTTAGTAATATACATGCTCATAAAACTTAAAATTGATTACATTTATCACTTGGCTCCATTATTTTCATTGTGTTGGAAGTGTTTGCCAAGACTAATGTGAATTGTTAGTAGGACCATTTGGGTGATCAGGGTTGTGCAGCAGGTAACCTGGGTACCATTATGGTTGTTTTCCTCAATGAGTAACTTGGGCTCCATGAAAGGAAAACTGTTTTCACTGGAATTTTATTGCTATATTGCTGACAAGTTTTGTAATTATAAATTCAATCTTGATGCTGTCACTCATTCAGTATAAATGTAGAAAATAACATAATGTTGTATCCCAAATAAATGTACATGTCAGATAAAAAAATATATCGGGATTCTCTAACTCATAAATTCAATATAGAGAGGAACGATGGTAAAATATTAATGTTTTCAAAATGTACATGGTTTTCCATTTCTGTCAAAAATGGGAGTTGTGTTTTTAAATACACCCTGTAACAGGAACATGTTACTCTAAAAATGCAGCAATGAAAGACCTGAGTCACCTAAGGTACAGGATGGCTCCTAATGGTGGAGCAGCAGGAGGGAGAACGAAGCCACTGACAGGGAGGGAAGAAGCTGATGGTAGTTCTGCCCTTCCGTGGTTTTCTGCAGAATTGTTTTAGTAAGTTACATACACGCACTGCTGGAGGTTAACGCACCTGAACTTCCTATGTGTTAATACTAAAGTTTCTGTTTGTTTTCTTTTTTTCCACACACAATTGAAATGTAGCAATACCTTCTACCTAGAATGTGCCTTTTACTTGCACCAGTTTTGCTCCATGTTGAACTGTTCTTTTAAGCAGTTTGGTCTGTGCTCCATGCAGTGCTATGAAGGGAAATCCTCCAAAGATATCCTGAAAAGAGTTGCTGCGAATGCGTTGATGTCTCTTCTGGCTGTCAGTAGAAGAGCCCAGAAGCACGCTTTGAAAGGTAAGCTTCATCTGCCTCAGCTGTTCACATGGCATCTTGCCAATCAGACATTTTACTGCTTCATTTTAATTTTCTTTGAACTAAAAAGGTGAAGAACTTATAATTGAATCCACTGAGATTTAAAAGTAGTTTTTTCCCATATAGCAGCATTGTAAACTTTTTTTTGTTTTATTTATTTGTTAAGATTTATCTTAAATTATGTATATGTATGCATGTGTCTATGTATGTGTCTGTACATGTGAGTGCAGGTGACTGTGCAGTACACAAGAGGGTGTCAGAATCAGAGCCCCTTGAGCACTTAGTGTGGTTGCTGAAACTTGAATCGGGTCCTCTTCAAGAGCAATACACACTACTGACTGCTCAGCCATCTCTCCAGCCCCACATTCATTACTTTTAAAATAAAAATAGAGTCCGTTGGGAATATAGCTCAGAGGTAAAGCATTTGCCTGGAAAACACAGAACCCCTGAGATCGATCCTCAATACTGTAAAATCAGTCAATCAGTAATACAGAAATTATACTTATAGATTTTTCTATTTAACATTAAATGATTCTTACTAAAGAGAATATACGTCTACAGGAGTTTAAAGCAGTAACATATTATTGAATTTCATATAATTATTAGTATCCAGAAGCACATTTTACATACCTAATACACATATAAATACAAACATAGTTTTCACAGTAAAGAAGATAATATCAGATAAGCCTATATTTTTATGTCAATTTCTACTCTAAAGCATTGCATCTTTTCTTCTGGACATTGAGAAACACAGGTCCGAGAGGTGGAAGAGAATATAAGCAAAAGGAAGCCCATCACTTTCAATTAATGATCTATTACTACAACAATATGCAAGCCCCAACATAAAAATTAGATTTGGAGACTGTTTTACTAAGAACAGAAAACGCATGGGCTTCAGTATTGTAGGTTTTTTTTTTTTTTTCCTCTCGTAATTTATTATTTTCTTACTAATTGATCTTCTGACTCAATTTATTTTAGTATTATTTTTTAGAGACTTGATTACTTGTGGCTTTAACTTCTTTGGAATAGAATATCCTCTTGACTGTCACAGGCTTTGTCTTTCAGCTGATCTGATAGAGAGCTGCGTGGAGCAGATGAAACACATTAATGCGCAGCTGAACCTGGATTCGTTGAGGCCTGGGAAAGCAGTGCTGAAAAACAAGGTAACAAGATTCTGAAGTTCCAGATTAAGGACCCTGCCCCCAGTGTTCTCTTGCCTACAGTGAGCACGAGGTTGAAATGAATGTTTGATTGAGAAGAAAGGTACAGGCAGGTAAATGATTGAGATGAATTCTCACTTGAAGATTTTAGGTGAGATCTACATGTTCTGTATTGTTATGCATAGTTAGAAACATGTACGTAGGGATGATGTATTGTGTAAATATTTTATACAGTGAAAAGAATAAATAAAAGTATAAGCTCTCTAGGAATGAAATCTGTTAACAGTGCTTATATGTTCACACACTTCATATTTATCAACTCATGCATAAACACACATAGCAACGATGTTATGTAATCTGTACTTGATGAGACCAGAATTTGCCCTCCCATGTAAGATATTCTGTGTATCTCCTGCAACAGTTCTCAGATGTTTGTTCTGGCATTGAAGTGCTTGACTTGTATTTAAATTACACCTTTGTTTAAATACAATATAACATTGTTATTGTATATTAGCTGTGGTTATCAATAACTGGGATCCATATCATTTGCTCCATGTATTCAGAAAATGAGTGTATATATGCCTGAATACTTAAATATACAAATAGTTGTATGGTAGCTAAGCTATTATAGTAGCACTTTATATAAAAACTATTAAGGAAGATGGGGCTGGAGAGGTGACTCAGTGGTTGAGTGCATACTATTCTTGCAGAGAACTTGAATTTAATTCCTAGAATCCACATTGGGCAGCTCATATTCACCTGTAACTCCAGCCAGGGGATGTGATACTCTCCGCTATCTTCTGTGGGAACCTCCACTCAGATTCACATATCCACACCCAGGCATACATACATATACACATAAATTTTAAATAATCTTAATAAAAGAAAACAAGATGAAGCCTTATTTAGTAGTCTGACTAGTACACGGAATCGAGCGCATTTTTCAGCTTCTTTACTTCTTCTTTTCCTCTCTAGCCAAAAGTCCTTACTGAGAAAGTCAGTCAGCACCTGCTATGATTGAAAACCAGCAGTATCTGCCTTACTTTATTGAGATGAAACACAGGTTATTATATATCTGAGTTCCTCCATGCTTGATAGAACAGAAATAGCTTTTTTTGTAGTGGATATGCTTCATGAGATATGGCCATCTTTCAGAGATCCTTAGCCTGTCAGTCCTCTCAAAGTTATGGGGTCAGATGTGATTAGAGCATAGCTGCAGTGTACTGTGACCCCAAAGGGAGGGAATCATATCTAAAACGTGCTACGTTCACACTTTTCAACTTGTTTTGTTTATACAGGAGGATGGCTTTGTTAAAGAGTTAAGCATTACCATGCAGCTCCTAAGAAACTGCCTGTATCAAAATGAAGAATGTAAAGTGAGTAAAGCTCCTCAACATTTGATAACAGTGTTAGGTAGTGAGTAGCTTAGTTTTTATATGACCTAACACAGGAAGACAAATAGAGCCTCTTTGAATTTTATTGCTTAGCTGCACAGTTGATTGGTCCTTCTGCTCAGTTAATTATCAGAATTGATGCACTTCACCCCATTTTACCCCATTGCTGTCCCTCAACTTTAATTACATTTTTTATTTACATCAGTGTTTTAATTTTATCGTTGAAACTTAGCCTCACCAGCGTCCCACAGCACTTCTGTACTGTTAGGAACTTAGATATTTCTTTAGGAGGAGAGAAGGAATGGCTGCATATGTCTTGTCAGGTGGATATGTTCAAAGGGAGTGAATAACATTTAAATTATAAGGAAAGAAGATGAGCATGCTTTCTGTTTCAGAGTAGGCATTTCTTGATTGCTTTGTTTAGTGTGGTCATGTCACCTAGAGGAAGTCCCTTGCTTCCAGTTCCTCTGCCTGCTGTGGCACTGTAAAGACACAGTGCTTCTCTCTGAAAGTCACTTAGGTGTCTTGTGCTGTCTCTGAGCATCATTGCTGTCAGTTTAAACCATTGTGTTTGTACTATTATTCAGGATAAGATCTTCTGAATTCTTGAAATTGGTTGATCTACAGTGACACAACACTCTGAAGCACTAGATTAAAGCTTTAGTATAGAAAATGAGTAAGGCAAAGATCAACTGTAGAAACTGGCCTTGTTTTTAGAGTTCTACCTTTTCTGCTCCCAGAAAAGCTGGAAAACACATGCTGTATCTGGAAAAATAATATGTTTAACATGTATTCCTTAAGCTGTGTTAAATAAGATATGGTAACAACTTAAATTTCAAAAAATAAGTATACATTTTGTTAAAAGTTCTAGTATATGAACTTTTTCTCAAAGTAGATATATTAATAAGTATATGATTCTCTCATGCTAAATACTGTCCGTGTAACTGGAGACAGCTCTTATTCGTCCATTAACACCTTATTTGAGAAGTACTCTGAAACACTTGACAGATAGTATCTACCTATTAAGATTTATGGAATAAGTGTCCTATCTCTGGTTACAAATGTGTTCACATTTGGATGGCATTAGCCACTTAGAAAAGTACAGTCATTTAGTAAGTCAAAGCATTTCTATATTTCTGATTTGGAAGGAGTAAATCCAAAGAATAATTAGGTTATTCTTGATTGTAAATATAATTCTATAGGACAGAAATTCTTAATTTCTTTCCTATTGCAGCTTATGTCCCCATTACTAATTACTGATCATTATTGTAATAATTCTCCAAATCCCCTGCTGCCATCCCACCCTGGTACATTTGTAACTTATACTAGAAAGATCATGTTGGCTATGAAACAGATGAATTGAACAGTGAACAAGGCTCAGGGGAGAACTTTAACAGGCAGCAGATAGTGAGGCTTTAACCTGGGCAGGGAAAAGAGAGGAAGGAAGGGTACAGAGCATAAGTATGAAAAATGAGATGCAAGAGGAGTGTAGAATGACTTTCAGGTTCCAACTTCAGCTGCTCGCCAGTGCAAGAATGCATGGTAGAGCAGACTAGAGGTGTGAGACCTGATGCTCAGGTATGCATGTGCATGTGCTGTATAAGCCTTTGGGCTATCCAGGGGGAGAGTGGCTTTGTAGCCAAATTATATGGGTCTGAGGCTCTGAGGACATACGGGCTGGGGATATTAGGAGTATGTAAGTAGTGCTTGTGGCCATGACTATAGCTGAACTTCTCCAAGGCTGTATACTGTCACAGCTTTGTTCATATCTTTGGAGCATATGAACATGTCAGAGAAGGCAGGAAGCAGCAGAAGGCTGTGCTGGAGAAGGAGTGCCGAGATGACACAGGCAGAGAGTTTGACAGCTACAAAGGCTGAAGTGATCACAGTAGAGTCATCAAACAGTAAAGTGCAGTGAGTAAAATGAGCTGAAGGGGAAATGACAGCAGTAAGCACACTTTCTACAGCCTAACTGTGGAGCCTTTCCCAACTGAGGAAAGAATCTGCCAGATTCTTATGTACCCTCACACTTAGCAAAAATGACCTCAACTAGTGCCATCACTGCGGGTCATGAGTATGTTTGGTTCTCCTACCGTGTAAGCTGCTTGAATATAAACTGAGAAATGGCCAAATTAGGGACTAGTTAATGAAGAGGCAGAAAAAATGCGCTAATGGAAGTATTGGTTCCTGGAGGAGGCAGGAATTGTGTTTCAGAAGGCAGGTGAGCGTATCAGGAACTCTTGTTCCTCACTTCCAGGCAGACAGAAGGATAGATAAATGGAGGAGAGCACAGATAACCATTTGGCTAAAATGAAGAAGAAATAAAGAATTCATACCTGCTATTTCTGTCTGTGAAATAGTAAGCTGGTGATCTGCCAGTGCGAGGCTGAGTGGGAAGCTTGAGTGTGGTAGGCATGGGAGTAACTTCGAAACTTAATGTTGAATGCTTCCCACTCCATTCCAGTTTGATGCTCTTTGCCCTGTAATGTTTATACAGTTGTGTGCCCATTCAATGAGGTGCATGTGGGTATAGAAGTTACCTCATAATTCCTGTTTTTAAAAGATACTACTGTAGGCAGGTGGATCTGTGTGAGTTCGAGGCCATCCTGGTCTACATAGTGAGATAGTGAGTTCCAGGCCAGCCAAGGCTACTTCATGAGACCCTGTTTTTAAAGAAAACAAAAAAGGTGCTTCTATACTTATTATAAGCAACTGATTTTTTAAATAAAGACTAAGTTACTTAAGAATCTAACATAATATTTAGACTGAATTTTATGATACTCAAATTGCACAAAAGTAGTGATTTATGTTTGATACACACATACACACACACACACATATTAAGAGAAGAGTGAGGGAGAACTGATCAGAGTATTTACTTAACTGTGAATTTCTATCTCTTGACCATGTTAGAGCCTTTACAAGAATTTAATTGTAGTTGAGAGATAATCACTTTCCTATATACTCTACATATGATAAAAACTGTTTTCTGCATTTCTCTGACTGATGTATCCTGAGACAGGTCAGGACAGCCTAACTGTGGAGCCTTTCCCAACTGAGGAAAGAATCTGCCAGATTCTTATGTACCCTCACACTTAGCAAAAATGACCTCAACTAGTGCCTTATATTTCTTATCTTTTGGGGGGATTTAAATTTAATTTTGCATTTCCTATATCCAAATTGATGGTTGTCCTTTCCTTCCATGACAGGCAGCAGCCCTTGAAGTGCATCTTGTCCCCATAGTGCACTCTCTCTGGCCATGGCTTTTGATGGAGGATTCATTGATGCAAATTACCTTACAGCTGCTTTGTGTCTACACTGCAAATTTTCCAAGTGGTAAATAGATCTACTGTTGTTTTGATTAAAAACTAAAATGCTAGTTTCATATGATGTTATTAGGCCAGACTAGAAAAACAAATGCGTGTTTTGAAGTATTTCTCTTTATTAAATTTATGTCAGTCAAAGACAGATTTCTTATATATTGTAACAATAGACATATTTTAAGAATATTGTTTATTGACCTAGAAAGTCACTGCATAGTTTAGGAAATCAACTGGCAGTAGGAAACTGTATTCAATTAGAAGATCAAAAGGCAAAAATTAATGTAAAAGCCAGGTGAAGATTAGAACCTTTACAGATTCTAGAACAAGAGACTGGCATGATGAAAATTAGTTCAAGCTACATTTTATCTTGTCAAAGTTGATATCACTGAGGCTCCCTTTTTATTTATTTACCCAATGGACATTTTATTGACAGCCTACTATGGGCCATGCATTGTTAGTTCTAGTGAGAGTGATTAGACTGAGAGAGGAATGGGAGAAGAGAAGAGCGTGAAGTAGCTGTTTTAAAAGGGGAAAAGCAACCACCAAGGAGGTAAAGTAGGTGTGTTGGCTGTGCTTAGTGCCCATTTACAACTTTGTCAACACTCAGCAGCTCAGCAAAGGAGATCTCCATATACCAAAGGATACACAAGGAAGGGAGAAAGTCAGTTAAGAGCCCATCTTGTCACTGCCACCTGTAGTGATAGCTTATTTCTCTGAATAGTCTGCTACCTGAAACTTCCCGCTTCACCAGCCTACCGAGGTGATGTCCAGCTAGTCTAAACAGATCCAAGCAGACCTTGAAGCTCTTGAACTTTGAACTACTGTTGTGTATGTGATGGCAAGTCAAGACTGTCCTGTCTTCCTTCTGCTGTTAAATTTCTCTTCTTTTCCTCTGCTTCAGCAGTCTTCTCTCAGTGTATCTCCCATGTCAGTCTCCCTTACAGTGTGACTGGCTGGGTATAGCTTGTTTCTGAGATTTTGCATTGGTCATTCTTACTGTCCTTTAACTTACCCTTCACGCTTTACTTGAAAATTTGGGGCAGTAAGGAGGAATAAACGGTGAGTTGCTAAGTATGAAGCAAAAATACATACTTTAATATAAATTCTTGAAATTATAATTTGTGCTGTATTTATACGTAAAGTTGATGAAAATATTAGAAGTGGTTAGAGCACCACTAACCTAAGGCAGAAATTTCAATTTTCTGTATGATGTTTTTTTTTTAAAGCACATATTCTTAAAACTTTAATTTGTATTTTTATGTGTGTGAGTATTTTGCCTTCATGTATGTAAGTGCACCACATGCATACAGTGCCTGCAGAGACCAAAAAAGAATATTGGATCCTCTGGAACTAAAGTTCTGGAAGGTTGTTAGCTGGCATGTGGATGCTGGGAACCAAACCCAGGTCCTCTGCAAAAGCAGCAACTGCTCTTAACCACTCAGCCATCTTTCCAACCACTGGCAAAACCACGTATTTAATGAGAGCTATGTGTAACAGGTAGTAGAAAACTGATACTTGAATACAGCTAGAAAGATCACCATATTTTTGTGTGTATTGATCTAATGTGAATTTATTTCACAGATTGTGTTTGGTTCTGATGTGCCTATAAAAAGCTGTTCTCCTTGTATGAACTTTCACAAAGTAATTCTACCTTAGGCTTAGATTACAATGCAATCTTACTGATCAAACACCAAAATATATTTCTAACTCTTTCATGATGAATTTTTTTCTCCCTCAATAAATCTCATATGGTTACCTAATTTACTCAGAAAGCATCAAACTTTGGAAAGCCATGGACACCACTGCTGGCTACTGCTGCTGTGAGCTGTGTGACCTTAAACATCCCATGATCAGGCACTTCTGAGCTCCTGATCTTTATTTCCCTACCATGGAAAATAACACTGGAGCTGTCCCAGCTGCCTCTCATTGCTAAAATTGTGTTATTCCACACAGACTTTTATTTAGATGCCTTTTTTATGAACTATTTAAAGAGCCTATTATGCTAATCTTATCCTTTTTTTAATAAAATAAAGTTGGTATTTTAATGCTGTATGGAGATAATTAGGCCCTCAGTGAAGACAGTAAATCTGTTGGGTTGAGTATGCACATCAGCATTAGGCTTCAGTGCTCAATTACAGTTCACAGGGTAATGGCCTAGTCAATTTGATAGACATATATGCTTGCCTTGCTGCTTTGTACATTTAAAAACTAAGCAGCAGAATGTAGAAGACATTGTGACAGGCTGTTTCTTTTGAAGGTTGCAGTTCTCTTTGTTGGTCAAGTTGTGGACAGTATGTTCAAGCTGCACACAGAGGCGTCCCCAGCAGCTCCCTCATCTTGTGTATCCTGAAGCTGGCATCTCAGGTGCCTCTCGAGAACACCACCATTCAGCAGATGGTTTTTATGTTTCTCTCCAACCTGGCCTTATCTCATGACTGCAAGGGTATAATTCAGAAGGTAAATGTTGAGAATTGTTACCTTGACAAAATAATCCTTTCAGTGAAATCTTAGAAGTCATTTCTAGGACTACTTTATTGTGATTTCAAGACCTTTTATTGTCAAGGATAGTAAAAGAATTAAGAGGTTAATGACTTAAAGCTAGTTGGTAGGTGGTACTTAAAACTAAGTAGAAGTGAAACAGTGATCATGCTATTTCCTTTTAGTTATCTTCATAACTTTTGGGTTCTGTTTTATCTCAAAACTGGTTTCAGAAAGACATTGGAGATCATGAAAGTAATATATTTGATCTGTAAACAGATAGTTGAGCAGTATCAAAGTCAGTTCAAATCACACTGACAGAAAGGTTTATGAAATCATGGGCTGGAGAGATGGCTCAGCAGTCAGCAGCAGCAGCATGGCTGCTCTTGCAGAGGATTCAGGTTTGATTCCCAGCACCCACATGGTGGCTAGCAACCATCCTTAACTCCAGTTCCAGGGGATCCGACGCCTTCTGACCTCTGTGGGCACTGCAGGACACAGGTGCACGTACATACCTGTAGGCAATACACTCATACACATAAAAAAATAAAAATAATAGGAAAATAAAAAATTTTAAAAAGGTTTATGAAACCAAAGCCTCCTTTCTCCTAGTTGGATTTTTGCTCCTTAATGATATAGACCATTTTCTGGGCTCTCTGGACCTTCAGTACTAAAGCCTGACTTTTAATCACCAACTTTACCTTTAATGGAAGGGAATGAGTGAAACTTTGTGTGTGTGTGTGTGTGTGTGTGTGTGTGTGTATGCGTGTGTGTGTGTGTGTGTGTGTGTGTACTTCATACACAACATTTCAAACAATCTTAATCATCTTTATACCCCCTTCCCCACAGGCACCCACCCATACCCCCCCAACTGGAGCCCATTTACTCTGTCATCCCTGTTACTGCCCCTTGGGTTGTCAGTACCCCAAGCCAATCCCCAGTGCAAGTCTAGTCAGCCTATCTAGAGTCCCTTGTTTTAGGAAGATCAGCTCTTCATCTAGTAGCAATCAGTTGCCCACATTCCTTCAGATAAGATTGGGGTCTGCTGTTCATTCACCCAGTTCTATGCTAGGTTACTGTCTGCTTGAGTTTGAATGGGACTTGTATATGGTGACACTTATGCCATAGAATTATATGAGCAGCTTCTGAGGCACTTGTAGGACTCTGTTTCCATACGGTCATGAACATCCTCCCTGGCTCTTACAGTCTTTACGCCCCTTCTTCTTCAGTGGTCCCTGAGCCTTGGGTAGGTAAAATTTAGTATAGGAGTTCTGTCCAAAGACCAGCATTCAGCAGACTCTTGATCTCTACACTTTGGCCATTTGTGAACTTTTGCATTCCTGGCCCTCCACTGCATGAGGGAGCTTCATTACTGAGAACTGATTCCTTAGTGTCATCATCTTTATCCCTGTTCTATGTTCCATGAGCCTTAGGTGTAGAGATTGCATTACACATGTCCCTTAGGCCTGGGCAGTTCATAAACAATGTATATGTGTGACCAGTTGTGGTACTTGGTATTAGTCTCTGACTGCTGCAAGATAAGCTTTTTGATGAGTGGTGACTGGGATATTTGTCTGTAATATAAGGATATATATTTTGCACATAGTAAGAAATCACATAGTAAGAAATCACTGATGTGAGAGTTTTGGGATTTTCTCTAAGATATATGCCCACTTGGGCCATGTGTATTAGGCTATGTTACAATACCACACTTGAGATTCCTCCCTTTGAGTGGGCTTTTAGTCAAATTAGTAGCTGTTGATTGCCCCCAAGATAAAAGTGCCACTACTGCACCAATGACATATGCTGTGCTGGCCATTGATGTGCTTATGTGGTCTTAAAGCTGGTGCTGGATCATCCTTTGATGTTTTTCCTTGGAACTTTCATAGCGTTCTCCAAAGCTATGCAAGCTCGCCTTCAGGGGAAGTTGTAGCTCTATTGCTCCAAATCCTGTGTCTGACGTATGTTCTGTCTTCAGCAGTATGTTAGGCCATCAAGGGCTATGGCAATAGCCTGAGTGATTTTGGGAGTCTCTTGGAGCACGCTGACCAACAACTCAAAGGAAGGTATTTCCTGTCTGACACGGTTTCTTGTTATGTAACCTGTAGCTAGACACATAGACTCATACAGAAATAATGTATGTATAATTTGTCAGGTTTGTCCTGGTTTGTTTCTCAATTGCTGTGACAAAATACTCTGACCAGTACCAACTTGAGGAGGAAAGGCTTTATTTTATATTACATCTCCTGGGTCACAGTTCACCAGGGAGCCCAAGGTAGGAACTCAGGGCAGGAACCTGGAAGTGGGAACTGGAGCACAGGCCATGGAGGATTGCTGCTTACTGGCTTGCTCCCCTGGCCCCTGCTCAGCCTGATTTCTTATGCAGCACAGGCCCACCTGCCCAAGGGTGGCACCACCCACAGTGGGCTGGGCCCTCCCACATCACTCATCAATCAAGAAGATGTCCCACAGACATGGCCACAGGCCAGTCTTTGAAGACAATTCCCCAATTGAGGCTCCCTCAATCCAGGTGTGTCAAGTTGACACTAAAGCTATCCAGCACAAGGTTGTTGGACTAATATGGTTCTCTCTGGATTTTTCAAACTAATTAGGCATTATTTATCTCTCTCACTGTCCAACCCTTCACCATGGTTTCCCTATTTAAAGTGCCCCCATTTCCCCCATTTCTCCCTTAATATTACCCTTCTCCTATGATCTCATCTTTCTTGTGCTCCTTCTTTCCCTTTATCCCCAAAGTTCCTTGTATAACCCTCCCTCCCTCCTCCTATTTAAATAACCCCATTTTTATCCATGTCTCCCTTTGTAACACCTGTTTCCTACTGTTCTTCTCTCTCAGATTCTTTCTTTTCCTTTACATCTCTGGTTCCTTTTCATTATTCTGGTTCCTGTAGTTATGTTGGGATACATACTCACTTATAAGGATTTGGTGTTAGGATCCACATATGAGGGAGAACATATGTCGTTTGTTTTTCTGAGTCTTTGTTACTTGACCTAGTATAACAGTTTCTAGTTCCAACCATTCACCTGCAAATTTCATGGTTTAATCTTTCTTTACTGCTGAGGAGAGCTCCATTGTGTAAATGTACCACATTTTCATTATCCACTTGTCAGTTAATGGGCACATAGGTTTCTTTCATCTCTTAGCTATTGTGAAAAGAGCAGCAACAAATATGGATGTACAAGTGTCTCTGCAATAGGATGAGTTCTTTGGGTATATGCCAAGGAGTGGTATAACTGGGTCAAATGGTAGGCTCATTTTTAGATTTTTAAGGGTTCTCCACACTGCTTTCCGTAGGGGTTGCACAAGCTTGCAACCCCACCAGCAATGAATGAGCATTCTCCTTTCCCCATATCCTCTCCAACATTTGGAATCATTTGTTCTCTTGATCTTAGCCAGTCTGACTGGGGTAAGATGAAACCTTAAAGTGCTTTTAATTTGTGTTTCCCTAATTACTGACAATGTTGAACCCCTTTTAAAATGCTTCTTAGCCATCTTTATTTCCTCTTTAAGAACTCTGTTCTACTCCTTAGTGCATCTTTTAACTGGGTTACTTGCTTTCTTGATTCTTTGTTTTTTAGAGTTCTTTATATATTCTGGATGTTAAATTTCTGTCAGATGTGTTGCTGGTGAGGATTTTCTCCTACTCTGTGGATTTTCTCTTCACTTCCCTGGTTGCTTCTTTTGATGTTCAGAAGCTTTTAGTTTAATGAGGTCCCATTTGTTGATTCTTGACCTTATTTCCTGAGCAATGAATGTGTGGTTTAGAAAATCCTTTCCTACACCTATATCTTGTAAGTTATTACCAATGTTTTCTTCTAACAGTTTCAGGTTTCACATTGAGGTCTTTGATCCATTTAGAGTTGACATTGTGCAAGATGAAAGATAGGGGTTTAGTTTCATTTCTTCTACAGGTGGAGATCCAGTTTTTCCAGCACCGTTTGCTGAACATGCTGTCTTTCCTCCAGTGAATGTTCTTGGCCCCTTTGTCAAATATCAGGTGGTTGAAATTGCATGTACTCATATTTGGGTCTTCAGTTTTGTTCCATTGATCTATGGGTCTATTTTTGTGCCCATACCATGTTGATTTTTATGACTATAGCTCTGTGATATAGTTTAAAATCTGGTGTAGTAATCCTCCTAGCATTTCTCTTAGTGCTCAGGGTGTTTTTGACTATCCAGGGTCTTTTGTGCTTCCATATTGAATTTTAGGATTTTTTTTTCTAATTCTATGAAGAATGACATGGGGATTTTGATTGTCATTGCATTGAATCTATAAATGGCTTTTGGTAGAATGGTCATTTTCACAATATTAATTCTTCTAATCCATGACCATGGAAGGTCTTTCCATCTTCTGGCGTCTTCCTCATTCTTTTTCTTTAAAAATTTAAAATTTTCATTGTAGAGGTCTTTAATGTCTTTGGGCAGCTTTATTCCAAGATACTTTATTTTTTTGAGACTATTGTGAAAAGGAGTGTTTCCATGTACTCTTTCTCTGATTGCTTGTTATTGGTATATAGAAAGGCTACAGACTTTTGTAGATTCATTTTATAACCTGCTACTTTACTGTGTTAATCATTTCTTATATGGTTTATGACATTTATTATCATACATATATTGAACCATCCCCGTATCTCTGGAATAAAGCCAACTTGATCATGGTGGATGACCTTTTTATGTGTGTCTGTATGCGGTTTACAAGTATCTCGTTGAGAATTTTTGCATCTATGTTCTTTAAGGATATGGGTCTGTAGTTTTCTTTATTGGTTGTGTCTTTACCTGGTTTTGGTATTAATGTGATGCTGGCTTCATAGAAGGAATTTGGAAGTTCTCCCTCCATTTCTAACTTTTTGAATAAATTAAGTAGTGTTGGATATAGATCCTTTAAATGTCTGGTAGAATTCTGCTGTAAATCCGTCTGGTCCTGGGTTTTTTTTTTTTTTTTGGTTGGGAGGTTTTG